GATTTCCCTCCCCTGCTTCCCAGGCCTGGACTTACCATTGCCTGTACTATTTGGTGTGGTTCATGCCATCCTGTGGAAGAGCCTGGAAGCTAAGGGCAGAGCCTGGTGGTCTGGCTTAGTCTGCAATGGGGGAGGGAACACCATAAGAGACTAGCAAAGACTCCTGTCTGGTTTGTCCTAGGCTTATTGTCCCCATGCCCCATTTCTTGTCATCCTTATTCACCAGGCTACAAAGAACAGTCTCAGAGTTGGAAAAACAGATCGATGGGTCTACCATTTACTTATTCTCACTGAGCTTTTGTGCCCATTTCTATTAAAATAAGAGCCCCTCTATTTAGAGGATTACTCTAAGTGATGGAAGCAACAACTTTGGCATACCAACACACAATTAAGTGCTTACAAAGGGTGGCTGAGATTGGCTAAAGTCACCCCTGAACAGTACTAGAATGTCCAAAGCAGAACAGGAGACAGGATTAGAGAAGCCTTGTTTTATCTCTTGTGGATGAGACATGAATTATGTTCAAATAATTCAAGGGTTGATTAAAGTCTTTGGCTCAGAATTGTCTTTTATTCACTAGAAGAGGCATTGTACTGCGAATACCTTCCTTGGTAAATGTTCCTAGGATCTGGGAGTCTGAGAAGGACTAGGTTGGCATGGAACAACCCACATGGGCCACTGAGAAAACAGATCTATGGATGAAACCTTTTTCCTTTTTCTTTTTAAAAAAGTCTTAGTGTGTCAGTATTGGGGTTAAAACTCAGAGCTACATGTTCCTACTTATGTTTTTGCTTAAGGCTGGTACTCTACTTCTAGCTTTTTCTGGCTAACTGGGAGATAAGCGTCTCACAGGCTTTCCTGCCTTGGGTTGGCTTTGAACCAGTCTTCAGATCTCAGCCTCTTGACTGGCTAGAATTACAGCTGTGAGTCACCAGTGCCAAGCTGGATGACAGATATCTAACGAAGCCAATATTTGAGGCCACATGGCCCGCCCGTAAGAGGCCCCTTTGCTGTCTAGCGGGGCTAGGCAGTTTCCCTCCTCATGGTAGAAGGTATTTCTGACCATGTGTAGGTCTGAATGTTGATGTTAATAGTCTTGAGGAGAGAAATCAAGCTACTCAAGTTCAACTATTAAAGAATCACTGAGGAAGGTGGAGATGCAAAGCTGAAATGTTAATCAATGAGCTAGTATGGGCCCGTGTTTAGAAGTCAAAGATTCTTACATTGTTGCTTTGAAAAACCTACGAAAATCCACATTTATCTCCATAATAAATTTCCATTCCAACAAACCAAGGGCTTCATTATGAATGTTTCCAAAGAAGCTATGAAAGTAGAGTATGATCACTTTCATTGTCTGGTTTTAACTAAGCAGGTGAATACATGCTCTAACTTGCATAGCTTGCATTGCTTTCGAGCCACCTGTGTAGCAGACCTCTCTCTACAATACATACCTACATAGCCAGGCAAAGGCATCTGTGATCCTTATCTGCAACAAAACTTGGTTTATACTATTAAGTATTAATGAGCTCAGACGTTTTATATGCATACTTGTCTACTTTATGCATTGTCTTTCTTTTCACTGAAAACATTAAACTAACAAAGCCAGTTCTATGCTTGAAAAAAGATTATCATGAAACCCAAGCTGAATTGGTCTTAATTTCAGGCTAGAGACATTAGTGCAATATGTGACTTTAGATTGGGGCACTGTGGATTAGAGGGGGGGGTGGATTAGAGGGGGCTTTCTTGTCATGAAGATATTATTAGGACAAGTGTCAAAGTTTGAATGTAGGGTACATTTGGACTAAAATATTTAGACTTCAAGAAGCAAAGCATCTACAATTCCCTCTCAAGTATCCTCAGAAGTATAGAGGGTAAAATTTTAACCTCTGGTCAGCCTCAATAAAAGGTGTGTAAAAGTTGCTCTATTGCTCTTGTGATTCTTGCTGATGTTTGAAAACACGGATTTACAGGGTCAGAGTAAAATGAAATGCTTGCACTGTTTATATGACAGTGAGAAGGTGAAACCTGACTTAGAACTGTTTGCTTCCTTGCTATATTTCCATGACAGAGGACTGGCCCCCTCCACTCTTGAATTCATGATGCTCATCGCCGAGTAGATGCTCCATAGACTCTAGAACTCAGGATACAGGGTGCAATGGAATTATGGAGGTCTCTGCTGTCCTTATTTCTGCTTTTGGCATCACAGCAGAACTTACCAGGACTCTGATGAAGAGCTCAGATTAGAGTGAGCCTAGCCCATCATTTCTTGACTTCAACTCAGCCTCACTGATCCGATGGCCTTGGTACCACACTTTGGGAAGCCCTTTCCTATAACTGACCAGCATTCTTTCATTGCAGAAGCCAAGGTGGCTTTCAAGAAGATGTAAGTGTGTTGGAAGATTCTGACGACCAAACCCATGAGCTATTCACAATCAGAAGCACCTTTCTGTGGTGTCCCCACACCTGCTTTCACATGTCACCAGTCAGATATCACCATATCAAAGAATTCACTTATGAAGAACTTTTTTTCCCTGTTAATTAAGATAAAGACCATACCATCCCTGACTGCAGATTGTAAGTTGCACATGGACATTTCATAAGTTCTAATGGCATTAAACCGAAAAAAAGTAGACTCCTAGGATTAAAAAACAAAACATGAGCACAGCACAATCATCCTGAACTACATCAAGATAGTGTGTAAGCCCAGCTGTTAATCTGACTGCAGTATCACATGGGAAGGCTGTATCCTGTATTAGTGGAAAGATTTTTATTTGGTGACAGTGGGATTTGAACTCAGGGCTTCACGCTTACTAGGCAGATGCTATACCACCCGATTCACTCTCAGCCCCTTTTGCTTTTGTGACTTTTTCGTTAGTCTTATAAGTTTTTCTCAGGCTGCCTTTGGGCCTCCATCCTCCTAATTATAACTTGCATTTAGCTGGGATTTCAGGCGTGAACTATCACATCCAACCAAGTCATGCATTTTTGAGGCCAGTCAGATTTTGGTTCTAATCCTGACATCTCCACTAATAATCTGATTCTGGGCGAATTCTTTAGTTTCCCAGTTAGTCTTATAAACTGAAGAGGAATAATAGGACCTTTCTTACAAGAGGACTGTGAGGTACCCATCAGTACCAATTACCAAAGAAGTCTTGGCTCAATAAAATGGCACAGCACTTAATATCTTTATGAAGCATACGCAGAGGCTGTGACTGACAGAGGATATTCCACTAACATGGAAAGACCTGGTGATCGCAGCAAAGCCTTAAAGACAGGAGAGGTTTTGAGAGGAACAGATGTAAAGCCAGGTCTGTCATTCCTGGTAGGACATAAAGAAGCCATTGGTCAACTGAGCTATATTCTCTGTCTATCAGCTCAACATGTTCACAGAGATCACTTTGAAGCAGCATGCTGAGCTGGGGTTCAAGAGGGAGCTGAAAATTCTTGTCTACCTGTGCCAGGTAATCTAGGAAATGACTTGGCAGACATATGTAAGGGGCCTCTAGAGTTGTATCCAGCTCTCTGGGTGGGATTATGTTCTATTTCACCTGGATTTTCAGAAACCCATGAGTGCAGAAAGATTTAGAATACACAGGAGAGTCTATATATTGTGTTATTAGATAGATACAAAGGCACGAGTCCTCTTGTCTGCCTGTGTTTAGCATCTGCTTCTTTGTCATGGGAGAAGGGAGTAACACTTCAGACTACATGGCTTTGGAGAATGGTAGGATTAGGTTTGTACTATGGCTCAGCCCCATCTCGATTGTGGATTTGGGTAAGCTATTTAATTTCACAGGGGACATTCAGTTTCCTCATTGATAAGATGGTAATACTGACTTTGTAGTTTTGCTCCAGGGTTTCAATGCACTAACGAATGCAAAAGGCTCTGTACATGTGGCAATTCTCTTGCATGGTGAGTATTATGGGGTAGGGATTAGGAAAGAACCCTGCTCTTCTTCTCTGCTAAAAGCCAAGATGGCTTTGGTACAAAGCATCGGTCTGATCCTGAGCTAAACGTGTGCCTCACCTCTGGGAACTGAAACAAATCCCCATTCTCCAGTCACTTCTTTGCAAATGGCTGTGCACTCTACACATGGCAGGGCTGGCAGGGAGGGGGTGCTCTCATGGTTAAGTTCTGGGAATACATGCTGTTGATTCTGTGGACCTCCGTCTTTATTGGGGGCCAGCTCTGTGTGGAGCTTGGACATCAGGCAGCATGGGAGCTTTAGCCTTACGCGGGATCTGTGTAGAGTGTCAGGCACCTGAGGGGATTTTTCTCCTGTTGGTGTACAGTGTCAGCTTCTAGCTATAACAAGTTCCATGTACATAAAGCTATATCACAGTCACAGATACTTGGTTCAGAGTTGACCCAGTTTGGATGAAAAAATGAGATGGTCAATAGCTATGCCTACAACAAGTGAAAACAAGGTGCTGGACAAGAACTACTAAAAAACAACAACTACAACAAAAATCCAAACTTTGTTTTAGAGAATTGGGATTTGATTTTCAACACTGAGAAATCAGTACTGTCAGCTGATCTTTCAACTTGGCTTAAGTATCTGGTAATGATTAATTCGAAATACATGTACCAGATTTGGCATGTCTGCGGAAGAAACGTGTGAGTGTGAGAGTGTGTGTGTGTACACAGAGAAGAGTAAAAGGCAGGAGTGCTGCTGAACATTTCCCAGCCAGCTCTCAGGATCCAACATCCACTTGAGCAGTTACACACAACGGTCTCACAATCAGAGTCCTCTGGGGCGCCGTATGACCAGTGGGAGAATGTTCACTTTACCAAGGAGTCCCTCAATGTGCACATCTGGCATCAGAAAACATCTGGCTTCCCTGGTGAGACCTCACCTTGGGCAAGAAGGACAGAAAAGTTCAAATGATGAGAAAGAACAGAGGAACGGAAGGCATGGAATGTTTATGGATTTGGATTTTGCCCTCTGTGCTGAAAATATGTCTCAGTAGCTTTCTAAAGAGCGGGAGGTGAGTGGGAAGAAACAGTCTGTACTTTCCTTTATTGAATGTAGCTTTCGGTGGTCACATGGCAACTCAATACAAACAGCCCAGCAGAGGGTAGGGCAATAACTCTTGTTCTCATCAATGTAAACACAACATTAATAGTGAAGAGTAAAGAAAATGGGTAAAAAGTCCAGTGTCTCCTCTAACTGCGTCAAGGGGAGGTGCTTGCCAACTCTCAGACAGGTCCCGAGGGGAGACTTGAGGTCCTCACCTCCCCCATCCACAGCCAAGCGGGGAACAACGCAGAGAAACCCAACCCTGCTTTCCCTGTGGCCTTCAGGCCTCTGTGTTGAGTCTCCAGATTGGGCTCCCATGACAATCCAAGTTCTTCTGAAGGCCCGAGAGGCTCGTAGTACCTTCCATATGCACTGAAATGGTTCCTTTCAACGCTCTTTCCTCATGACCAAGTCTCTGCCCGTAGCAAAAATGTGACTGGTATTCAGGGGGTAGGTCTGCCATTCCCAACACACCCTGTGGTAGCCCTGGATTCTCAGTCATGGGCCCTCAGTGCTAATCCTGAAGGAAACTGCCCATGGCGGCTGGGGAGTACTGGCTGGGGATGCGTGGCCTTCCTGCTGGGTCAGAGCTGATAGACAGATGCTGGCACAGGCAGCATGGTTTTCCCTTGGGAGCCTTAAGGATCACATTTTCTATTTTGGATTCCCAGACCAAAAAAAAAAAAAAAAAATCAAAATCCCCGAACGAAAACAAATCAAAATAACGTAAGAGTGATAAAGAACCGATCTACCTCACCTCCAGGTCCCTGCTCATACGATGTCTCCATGGGGCTCTTCCGGATGGTTGGCTCAGGTCCTTTGGCTTGCCCTCCCCTTGGCTACCCAGCTATGTGGCAGGGAAAAGAAAGTTTCCTTTGAAGGAAGAGAAAACTTGCTTTTATTTCCTGGGAAGACTAACTCCCAGCACTCTCGAAACTTTCTCCCCACCTAGGATGAAACCATCATTATTAAAAAGACAACAGAATCACCGCCAAGCCCCTGCCTGGGCATGTGGCTTCCTGGGACCTTGATAACCCTTGATTCTCTCCTGCCCTTTTGTGTCCCATTCTTACAGTGCCCTCTGTTGGTGGACTGCTTTCCTATACTCTGGGAATGCAACAGAGGCTGGCTGGATCCTTGTCCATGATCTTGGAAGTGAGAGCAGCTTTGTGGGGGCCAAAGAAACCAAGGAAAAAAACAAAACTAAAACCCAAACCAAAACAAAGCATTGCTCAATTTTTGAAGGCATGGACCCCAGACAGCAAGTGGCTCTTCCCCTGTGGCACGTCTCTTCCTAGTGGTGACTTTCTTGGTGCTAGCTGTTGTTCTCAGCCGTGAGATATTTCAGGGCAGCAAAGCCATAGCGGCGGGACATGTCCTGCTGAAACTCTTCCTTCAGGGTTTTGAGACAGATGCGGTATTGCTTGTTGGAACGGAACTTGGTGATGTCAAAGCTGGGGGCATGAGGCATGTGGATCATGTAGGCGTTGGGTAGCACGATGAACTCATATTCCTGGCAAGGCGAGATAAGACAAGAACAGAGTGAGGCCTTGCAGGGAACCTGGGTAATGCCTGAAGAAGGCCCACGAGACACTTCTGGGGATCACACTCAGAGCCTGTACTTGTTAGGTAAGTGCTCCGCCCCTTCAGCCGGAACCCCAGTCCTTTCACTTATTAGTTTGTTTTTTTTTAGATACAGTCTGGCCTCAGATCACAATCTTCCTACCTTCATCTCTTAGGACCACAGTTGCGGGCCATTTTCGATGAGGGAACTGCAGGACTATACAAAGATGACATGGAGTGGGAATGTTCACGATTGTCTCCATAACCTTGCCCAAAATACTTAGCTGGGCCTAGGTTTTTGCATCTATAAAGCAAAAACGATCACATCTGTCTCAAGAGATGACCATGAAAGGGAAGCTAGTACTGCAGAGTGCCAAGCTGAGCTCAGGGCCTCTGAGAGGCTGTCGATACACTTAAGTTCACATCCTCACGGTCAGTCTGGATGACCCCGGTCATGGATTTCTCTTGCCCTTAACTGACATCTGTTTATGTGACCCCTGGTAGGGCTTGCTGAGCTTTGTGCCAGTCTCCAGTGATCAGTACACAAGAGCGTACAGTCACCAAATTCAACACATATCAGACAAAATGGCTGGGGAGGATGGTGGAGAAGGACGAAAGGAGTTACACACTGAACCAGATTTATTGTACCCATGAACTGCTTTGTTGAAAAGCAACTCCTTTGAACAACTGCTTAAAGATAATGAAACTATATTAAAAAAAAAGGGGGGAGACAAAACAAGAATAAAAGTCAAGAAGAAAATAAAAACACAGATTCAGCTGGACTGAAGCTTCTCAAGAGTAAAACTCTCAGATTCCTTCTTATAAGCCATACCACCGTAAGTCACCTCAACCTGGCAGAGTGAAAAACCATGAAAACACAAGATCTCTGGTGCGGGGGGGGGGGGGGGGGGGGGGGAAGGGGAATGGAGACGGTACGGAAAGTGCACCCCACCCATCCTGTGGCCTAAACCATGGGGGCTCCTGTATCTGTCAAGTAGGCCCTTAGTCCTTTCAGTCACGGGAATGGGGAAAATCAAGTGTGACTTGTATTCTAATGCAAGACAGGAAAATATGCAACATATTCCTGATAATCTGCCCTACTGTTTAAAATAAACAAAGCCAGTTCTCAGTGCTGGCAAAATGAACTGTGGATATCACAGCTCTCTTTGTTCAAGCAGAAGCTGAGGCTGACTAGACGTTGTGGTTTGCATTTGCAGACAGCAGTGCTTGGGCCTGCTGGACCATGCATTCTTCTCTTTAGTGTGGACGCTGTTCTAACACCTTCTCCCAACACCACTGATTCTCAGTCACCCCCAACAGCTTTCCTGAAAAGTGGGACTTCCTGGTGATTCTCATAATGAGCCATGGTTGTTTCCTATCTCATCTTTTCCTGAATCTGAGGGGCGATGGCTGAGACAAATTTTAACCCTTGAGAGCCAGGAAAAGGGACATGGAGAGCAGTCCAACAAAGAGTGGGGATGGAGGGAGGAGAAGGTGACTTTGTATCCAGAGAAACTTGGCTTCTGTTTGTTTAACAGAGTGGTGACAAACCATGGCCTGTCTGAGCAAATCCAGTAGTACTGGACCACAGTTATGCTCATTTGTTTAGACAATGTCTATGATAAAGCAACCAAGGCAGAATTGAGCCACTATTTAAGTGGGAGACCCAGAGGCCCCACCAATTCCCAAACACTTATCTGGTCCTCCATAGAGGAAGTTTGCAGAGCCTGGTTTCTTTTGCAGACTTCTGTTTTAAACCACTAACAATTATAAAGAATTAGCTGAGTAAATGAAGGGCTTTAAGAGAGAATGCAGCCAAAAAAAATCACTGCTGTCTTAAAGGGGAGTCTCTGGGTGCCTCATAGTGGTGTGCTTTGTGTCAGTTAGATGGAAGTCTTAACAATACTTTGTGTCTGTCGTACAACCTCAAAGTCCAAGTTGGCTTGTGCCAACCCTATTCATCATTTGCGCGCCTTCATTTCTGGCTTGATTGTAAAATGGTTTGTCACGGGAGACTCACATTTGGTCCTGGCTGGGAAGCCAACTTTCTTGCAAGGGAAGAAGAAAGAGCAGCGATGTGTGACCAACAGTGATTTGAGATTAGGACTGCCACACTCTCACTCTAGGTCTTTGAGTGCTCCTTGCTTCTTCTTAGACCTAGCTGGTTTTCCTTATCCTGAAGGTCCTCTTCCAGCCCTGAGATCTAAGCCTCCCTTCCTCCCGCCCCACACCAGGTAGATGTCCATTCTTCTCACCTGGGCATCCAATTCCATGATATGAGCCACTTTGTTCCAGCCAAAGCCCACAAACCTCCGGTCGTACTCAGGGCAGTCTCGTCTTACGACAACATATGGCTCGAAATCAGCTTCCCACTCAACCTGGTAAGGCGTGGTGGCAGTCCGCCACTTGGCGAAGTTTGTGGGTGCGTGGCCTTTCGTCCAGACGTGGTACCTGGGACATAGGGAGAGACGCTATTGGGCGGAGGGAAGGAAGTCAAGCTTTCCAAACCCCGTTGCTATGGAGGAAGACATGGCATATGCTGATACTATCCTTATGTGAGTGTGTGAGCTACGTTTGAGTGCTAACCTCAGGATTTGTTGGGAAATAGGATCTTCGCAGACACAATCAAGTTGAGATGAAGTCAGGGTGGATTAGGTTGGGTCCTACCCCAATGGTTGGTGTCCTACTCTAAGAAGAAAATTTGAACAGAGAGATACACATGGAAGAATACAATGTACAGGCATTGACTGAGAGAGTGATAGTCCCATCCTTAACACAGGGAATGCCAAGGATTTCTGGAAGCATCCAGAAAGCAGGAAGAAGGAAGAAAGGAAGAATTTGTCTCTTGAATTCTTTGGGGAAAAGGATGGACCTACTGATACTCTGGTTTTGAACGTCTGGCTTCCAGTACTATGAAAGGGTAAGCTTCCGTTGGAATAAGTTCAGAATATGCTGCTATGGAGGGCCCAGGAATTGAACACATGGGTGGTCTGTGTGAAGATGGAGGCCACCTCCCGGTTTGGTGAACACTTGGTATACTTTCATTTCTATGAACACAGTTGACAGGTGGCCTCTACTCTGGCTATTCCTGCCAGAGACCACCTTTACTCCTGAAACAGAGCTTCTGAGTAGGATGCTGTTACGATTCTATTATATTACTAACACCATTTGTGTAGATAGAATTAAAGTAATCAGGTAAAGTAATTAGTAATCAGGTGACCTCGGATTAAAGAAGGAGATTAGACATGATCCTATGAACCTTCAGATCCAGGTCTGGAAGGAAGCAGAGTTCTGCTATGAACTACCTATGGGGCCATAGGCAAAGAAGTCTAGGAGCTGAAGCAGGGTTCCCTGGCCAAATCCAGAAGCAGGATGAGGCTTCAGCTAGTGTTCCCCTCTTACCCGCCCTCCAATGGAATTCTGCTAGCAGCTGCTGAGTAGGGAGAGAACCATGTTGTGTACTGGAGAACAGCAGCTTGGCCTACACACTGGTTTCCAGCTGGTCAGACCTATCTCATTTTTGGACCAACGACCAACTCCTCACCAGAGACAGACCATACATTTACATGGTCTTAATCAGGTATGTCTGTGGTAATAGTTATATACAGCAATAGAAAAATGAATGCAGACACAAGACAACAAGAAGCTGCTATCTGACAACCACTTACTATGCACTGGGAATATTTTAAATAAAACACACACACATTCTAATACCTCAGCCAACCTCAGGTTACAAATGTTTAAGTGGGGAAGCTGGGATTTGAGTCCATACTGGCTGACCCCTTCTATGCCAATGTCCCCTGTCCTCTTTGGCCTACAGAACAAGTACTCAATGATTGTACGCCAGCATTGAATGAATGATTGCATGCATGAATACTCTAAAAAAGTCATGGAGTATCTTGGAGAGGAGTTAATGACGGGGACAGGAGTTCTGTCTCAGAGGTAGAACCTGGGGCATAACGAAGCTACAGATAGGGTGAAGAGAAAGAGGGTAGGGAAGATGGTACCCAGAGCTAGGGAGAAGAGCTGTATGAAATGAAAATTGGCACTTAATGGCTGAACTGCAGAGAGGAACTCAAGAGCCCTGGGCCTCATCTTCTCAAGGAAGGCTTGGCAGAGCAAGCAAGGTCAGAGGATGAGAGATTGAGAAAGACAGAAGACAGAAAGAGGAGCGTGTCCTTGTGGCTAGCAGCACTCCCAATAGTAACACTATGGCTTTTCCTTAATTTGCTCTCCCACCACTGAGGCTGGAATTCCAGCAGACCCTCAGGGATCTGTCCAGTGTGTGCTACATGGTCTTCAGGCCATCAGATGGACTTTCTTCTAGTTGTGTTGCTGGGTGAGACGGTGGGCTGGAGGCGGCAGGGACATGACTCTCAGCTCTATCAATGCAGCAATGTCCAGCCAAACCAGTCACTTAACTGGAGCAATGAAACGAAAGTCTGAGCTTTAACGGAGCATGAAAACGGATACTGAGAGAGATGTCAATCACAGTTCGACTCCAAGAATTAGGCCACGAAGCAGTTGACTTTCCGTGTGTGAACTTGCTGAACAGACACGTGACACCTGGTGCCTTTGATGGAAAAGATACAGCACACGCGATGGCCAGGAACCTGTATTAGGTTCCAAGCACAGCACAGTGAAGCCATTGGGCCAGGGTTCAAATCCCACCTCTGTCATTTAGAAGCTGAGGACCTTGTACAACAGAATGCTGTAATGGGGCTTTAGTTTTCCCTTGGCTTCAGCTGGGATAAATAATACCTATGGCGATGAATTGCCAAGGAGCGTCAATGAGACAATGCAAAGAGCTTGCCACAGCACTGCCTGCAGCGGGCATTGGGTAAATGCTCGCTCCCTACTAAGCGGTGAAACAAAATGCTTATAAACAACGGCTGTGAGGCAGCCAGTCTGGTTTGGAATTCTGCATTCAGTACTGCTGGACAAATGAACTATTCTGTCTCTCTGTTTTCTGCTCTTGGCAAACTGGGAGGTAAGAGTGATACCTCCTTCCTGAACTCACGTGAAGCTACTCACATCAAAGCCAGTGTCAGATACAAAGTAATGCCTTCCAAGAAACAAGGCTATCCTTATTCTTTCCCTTTGTTTTTCTCCTAGCTATGATGTCAGTTCACAGTGGTCTTCTCTCTATGGTATCAATAGATGGATGACTATTTTATTGATTTTCCTTCTTTAGAATCTGAATGCTTTGGTCTATTAACCATGTGCAGAAGAGGAAAAAAGAGCAGGGGAGGGCTAAGACAGCTGGGTCGGTTCTATTTGTCTGGCTGGGGATGTAGCTTCCACCTGCTCACCCTGGAATGCTGACAGCATGCTGAATGGCTGGGCAGAAATCACCATCAACCCGCCATTAAAACAAGCCATGGTCTGAAAGCTGTCTGAAGAGCCTGTCGTCAGACCAGTAGACTTTAGGGGCCGCTCTCAAGAGTTTGGCAACCCTCAAAAACCACGTTGAAATGATGAGGGAGGGTTCTTGGGTAGACTTTTCATAATGCTACTGAGATTTGGGGTGCTCTGAGCACCCCCAACATTTTTGTACCACAGAGTCCTGTCGAAGACTTGTTCCAGTTCCAGGGTTTCCGACTCAGGAAGTCTGGCCCAGGCCTGGGATGGCATTTCTAACAAGGGTCCTGGTGATGTGATACTATTGTCCTAGGGCCAAGCTCCCTAGAGGAGGCAGTGGGGTATAGTGCCAGATGTGGACAGGAGAATGTTTGTGCTGCTGGAAGTTTAAGTATTCACTACTTGAAGAACAGGTGACAAAAGCAATTTCTTGGAGGGAAGAGCTGTAATTTAGTGCTTGGCATGGTGGCTTACAAGCTGTTGACCAGGGCAGTAATCATGGACACAGCAGGCCAGACCCCAGCTCTCACGCCCACAGACATGTTCTTGAAATGAGTTCTCAGATCACCTAAGGTTGGAGATGGAAAGAATACCCCGGAAATATGCCAGGTGTTCAAACACCAGGCTATAATGACTCAGGTGGACGTTTGTCCTCAAAGTCTCGATTTCTTACCATGCCACCTCCAAATGCCGACCAATACGAAAATTAGTAGACCAATGCAATTTTGGTTAAGAACACAGGTCCCTCAGACCTGGGATGAATCCTGGCTCTACTCTTTGTTAGCAGTGTGTCATTGGGCCAATTCCCTGGCTTCTCAGAGCCTCTCTATAGCTTACCTATAAAAAGGGGACTAAAATCATGCTATTCAGTCTACACTAGGAAAATGACCTATGTAACTTGCCAGCAGGGATGGGAGGGGAAAACTGGGGATTAATAAGGGGAAATTTTTAAAAAAATGCACTCATTATCTGACTTATGAAATGGTAGCCTCCTCTGTACAATACTGTAATAATAACAAAATAATTAAAAATGGGGAGAGGGGCTAACAGGTATCTTGTAAGGATTAAATATTCTGATCACAATGGCTGGCACACCTTAAGCACTTGATAAAGGGTAGTTGTTATTTCTTTCTGGAAAGTAGTAAGGTGTCGTTGGTGGGGAAAGAGAAGGGGGAAGAAATCAACTTTTCCAGGTCACTTTCCAGATTTTGAATGGACAATGAAGGCTGGAGGGAGTCCTGGCTCCATCAGGACCTCCCCACTCTCCATGACATATAATAATCTCTGCACAAAATAATGATAAGAAAACATAATCTTTGGACTGTTGAGTGAATATCCCAGCTCAAAGTTACTTTCACAGAATAGCTTGAGAAAACCTTCTAGCAACTTCCAGAAACTTTGCAGTATTATGAAAACAGAGGTTGTTATGCCTACAGCCTTCGCTAGCACTACAATTCAGGTCGCCAAATTCTGTATGTGCGGTTTGGGACTTGCAATGTTTTCCATTCTTGCTTTCCCTCTAATGGAGGCTTCCATCTAGCAGAAGCATGTTGAAGCAATGGCACCGTCCAGATGGCCCCATCCTAAAACCAGCAGAACTCCTACATCTCAGCCCCCATGGTTATACTTCATGCTGCAGTCTATTCTTGGGTGTGGAACCTATTCACCTGTGCAGCCTACAGCTTCCTGGGGTACTCTGAGTATTCCTGTGGGACTAGGGTCTGGGAAATGAGGGCTTTCTTTGAAGCTGTCACTCAGGTAGCAAGACAGTTGGCTGTGTACAACTCTGGATTCACGCTGATGACCTTAAGTTGAAATGATGGTTGCCCATGACAGGCATGAGGGGGCTTAGAGGACAGAACTCTCACACCAGAAAGGTGAAGGGGAGAAACTTATAAAATGAGACCCATTAGCAGGGTCCACCTCCAAGTTTAGCAAAAAGGATGAAAAGAAATAAGCGTGGCTTTCTTACTCAAACCCATCTGTCCTTCCATCTGCACCAACACATCAGGACCCACAGTCCCTGACATGCATGGACTGGGGGAGCGGGGAGAGAGGATACCCAGGATAGGGCTGCATGACCAAAGCTTTCCCTGGCCTTACAACGCACCGATGTAACCTGCCGACCTTTGGGTCAAGAGCTTTGGTGTCTGGGGTCCCCAGGAGAGAGGTCCTGAGGGCCCCTTGGGAGGACGGCGTTGGGGGCCACTCACCTGAATGTGAAGAGGGTCCCCATGTCCAGCATCGACAGCAGCTCCGCTTTGGATTTGGGGAAGGAGAGCCGGTAGCGCAGCGTCTCGAATGCCGGGACGATCATTGCTTTCTTGGTGTTGGCGAGGTCGAGCTGGATGACAGACTTCCTGAAAGAGGATGGCAGGCAGAGAGTCTGAGTCTTGTGACACCAAGCAAGACCCTTCCCCAGGAGGGCAGACTGTGGTCAGACTGGGGAGGTATATAAGAGAAGGCCCAAGGCAGCCTCCCAGCCTCAGAGGGGAGGTCAAGTGGCTTGCAGTTCCCATCCAGGGTTCCCAGAGGAACTGACATCTGCCATCGCTGACCTAGAGGACTGACACTTTCTGGAGACCAAACACAGGGAGGGCCATGCTGGGTGGGAGGGAGCAGCCCCCTATACACTTGCAGTGTATGACTCTGTTAGAGCCAGGCCTGGAGGAAGGTCTCAAAGGACTTCCTACTTCTGCTCTGCCCGCAGCACCATTGGCTATGTGAGAGAAGACGGACACAAGGCCCATGACCGAGTGACCAGCCTGTGACCCACCGCTCAACCACATCAATGGAAGTAGCCAGGGCCTCTTCTCCCCTGCAGCAGTGCTTAGCCAAGTAGATCAGAACTCCAGTGTGCCATTTGAAGGTGCACAGTTTCCCTAATTTCTCCCTGACTCCCACTTCTCTGCCCAGCCTTCTGCTCTGCTCCTCAGACAGCCAGACATGCCCTTCTGCATGAAGAAAGGGAGAAAGGGACAAAGACTCAGGGAGTGCCTCAGAGCATGGAGCTTTTAATGACCACAGACTGGATTTAAATCCTGGCAATGTGACTTTATGAGTCTTGCCATCCTGGCCAAGTAATTTAGCTTCCCTCTACCTTGAGTTCCTCCTCTTCCTCCAGAATTGTGGGGATAATGACTGCCTCCTGGAGTTGTTGTGAACAAGGTAATGGAAGACTGCTTAGCATACCTGGCACAAGGCAGGCATGCGGCATCAAATGGAAATGATGACACTGCAGGGCTATCATCACTCCCTGGCTCGATAGGCTATGATTTCTTTTGGCTAGGAATTTGGTACTTCATTCTGGCTTTTTGCTCAGACCACTGACTTTTAGGTCTTGATGCTATCACAAGCTGTCTGCTTCTACACTTTTGAAATTGAGAGAGCAGCCTCACTTGGAAGGGTAGACATTTGGAAGGCATTTTGAAAAATACTGGGAGGAGAAATCTCCATGGCCATACAATTGCTTATGGCTCTATTGCCAAAGTCACACTTCATTCAGCAAAGCTTCAGCATGTGCAGAGGGGAGGACCAGGACTGGTCTTCAAAGAGTAGCCATAACCTTAAGTAGGTAAACTATGTAAGCCCAGGCCAGTGCAGTACAAGACAGATCTATAGGCTGAGAATGACATCATCAGGGTTTGACAAATGAAACAATGTTAAGACTCTGGACCAGGTCAGAAAAAGGGAAGTCTTTGCTAAAGGGTCTCACCAGTGAGCAGGTGGTTGTAAGATGGACTAGGGTGGACTGCAGTCCATCCTGCAGCATGATGCTTAACCAAGTGATTTATGGCCCCAACGCCACTATTTCAGAAGAGGTTGGTAGAGGATGACAGCAGATAGAATAGTCAGTTTGATGTCCAGGGGCATCCAGTCAGCTCCTCCTGGCCTAAATCCTTCTTCCCCCTTTGTCAGAGCAATGATGTCAGTCTTCAGATGCCTAAGGTTCCTTCCTCCCTGGCCACGCATCTAGAATCAGCCAGCATTCTCTTTGCCTCTGCAGTAGCTATTTTAAGATATGAATGCAATCGGAATAGACTGGAAAGTTGGGAGGGCTGAATTATGAAGGGAATAGCAAAATGTATACACATATATACATAATGGATACAGAGATCTATAAACATGATGTTCTCTGTAGAAGCATCGAATTGCCACTGCGATCACTGTTATTCTACTAGTCACTTCTTGGAATGCTCATTTAAAAATTCCCCCTTCTATTGCCCCTGAGCAGATCCCAGAGCTTTGCTTGCCACTTCCTGAATCCCTGACACAGGTTGCTTAGAGATGGACACTTGTCCCAAGGAAGGAAATCTGTTCCTCACCCGTGCCAATTTGAACAGAAACAGAAAAACCACATGGCTGACTTCCCCTCATGTCAGACAATGAATGCTCTGTAGATTTCTGAACTTCAGCTGCAGAGGCCTAGAGCTGCTTTCCTAACTGAGGTCTTCTGCATTGGTTGTCTAGCCCTCCTGAGATTCTGTAAGATATACTAGTGTAGAGCACATGGGCAGCAAAGATGGCGCTGAGAGGGAGTTGAGTGGGCAGAGCCCAATTGACCTTCCGATCAGTGCCTAATCAGCCCATGAAGGCTTAGGTGCATGATAGGGTGTGACTTTGACAGTGATTGGTTCCTCTTCCTCCCTTGCCATGTCACCTGCCCTTTTTGGCTTTAAAAAGGACTGCTCTCTGTAGTAAATGAGTTTTCTTCCTGCTTGACTTGGCTCCCCGCTGTGTCTGATTGTCTCCCAGGCTGAGGGAGGCTGGTGAACTGGTGAGCTCCGCACTTACCTTTCCTCGGACCCGTCCGTCTTTTGTGGGACAGACGAACACGCAACATACTAGTCAACTTTTTCATCTGTTTTTTTTTTTTTCTTCCCATTTGATTCAGATTAAGCTTCTCACATTGGGTGGTGTTGCTTGCCACCAAACAAACCTAACTGATGAGAGTAGAAGACCCAGAGCAAACAGAACCAGTCAGTCGCATGCCTTACAAACGGAGGCCTAGGCAGTCACTTCGCCCCCTGCACAGACAAGAGATTCTGATGTGCTTTCTGCAAATTCCCTGTAGTCTCCCTGAAATATGAACTGCTACAAAGATGTGTTGCTACCTGGTAGGTCCATTTCAGACTCTATTCAAGGTTTCAATCCTCATGTCGGTAAAGGTGTCATTAGGAAGTGTGCTTTGGCTGTAAAAGTGGTGGCAGTGTACAGATTTGAGCTCTAGAGCAGCCTTGACCAGCTGGGATACTCTGGGTCACTTCCCACATCTCTCTCATACAGGTGAATCTAGATGATTAAAATGGAAGGTTATGAGGAAGCGGGTGGAGTAGTCAGGAAATCCTGGCTTCTAGTTCTGATTCCACCATCACTGGGCAAGTCACTGTATTTAGCACTTGTGTACCGGTAAAATAGGCTGGTAGGCAAAAGCAGCAGTGTGTGGGGAAATCAGGGTTCAACGCTTGGTACCTTTTAAGCTCTGAGCATGTGAAGGCTGCTGATTGCCATGGTCCACTTACTGTGTCGACTGGGATGGACCTCAGTGGCCAGTTGTTTGATGTTTCTGTGAAGTTATCTGACAAATAGGATTGACATCTACACTCATTTGACTTTGAGAAATGGGTATTATCCTTGATAAGGTTTCAGCCAGTTAGCTGAAAACCTTGGGAACCAAAACTGAGGTTTTCTAGAAAAGAAAACTTTTGCCTTAGAATGGCCTTATATAGATCTTGCCTGTCTTCAATCTAAGGGCCTGCTGTATGGATTTCAGGTTAGCTCTCATAGCTGTATGTGCAGGCTCTTGAAAATCTTTCTCTATGCCCGTCTCTCTGTACATCTGTTCTAGTCTTCCCATTATTCCCTAAATGACATAGTACAACCACTATTGACTATCATCTACATTTGAATAGGTATTACTGTCACTGCAGTAGAGGACCCTCTAGAATCAGTCTCAAGAGCTTGATGCATTTCTAAAGGGAGGGAGAGGATGGCTGTATTTCTGAAGGCTAGACAGACAAGATGTGTGTTAGTGAGAAATTACAGCAGGCAAATGCTGCTGACAAAATTGAGTAAGTTAAGAACTTGGGATGACCACTGGATTTGGTCAGGTGGAGGTCACCGGTGGCTTCCTCCTTGATTGATGGCACCTGGAATAGCTCCAGAGCACCCGGCAAGACCAGCTAATGGGTGTGCTTGAGGGCAGTGGCCATTTACAATGGCATCCATTGGAGCTCTCTGAAAGCAAACCAGGTCAAGGGCAGGGTTGGATGGCTAGCTGTGAATAGAATGGTAGGGGAGGAACTAAATAAGATACGATGACCAATACTTAGCCCTTTCATGATGAGCTGGGAGAAAACTTGCTTGTTTTCTAATTAGACTCCCCTAAGAGTCTCACAGTGAGCAGTACTTGCTTGAAAATGGGATTCATCAATTTTCACCAAAGGAGTCCCTACCTAACCCTAGTCTTTCGACTCTTCATACATTCTATTCTGCTCAGCATTCCCTGTAACAGATCTTTCACAGGCCTGGGCTTCGATATCAATCACAAATCTAACTTGATGTTGGGTTTATGTTCAGGAAAACAAAATCAGGAAAATAACCTACCTCTGAGGTCAAGAAAAGTGGGAAAGCATAGAGCATAAGATTTTGAAATTATCTTGTTTGGGGCTGTTTATATCTTGGGCGGGGTGGGAGGAAGGGGCACAACTTCAAGTGAACTAGCTCAGCCCTGTGAGTGAGGGCTATGTGGGGGTAGGGTATAAACAGAATGGCAAATACAATGCCAGGATAGGCTGGGGAACCTATGCCCAGCACAAAACGGGCAGCTGCTCTTCTGTTCTAGCCATATGACTGTCATCTGGGAACACAGACATGTATTCAGATGTTTCAAGATGAGCCAAGTAACATGATTTTCAACACACTGAGGGCTGAATGTCTCCCATGAGATGCTAGCTTGGAGGGAGGCTGAACCACGGGCAAAGAGCATGATCTTCTGAATGAGATCATGTGGATTCTACCCCGACTCTACTACTCCCGTAATTGTGCAAGCACGGGCAACTGTCCTATCTCTCTGGCCTTTGGTTTATCTCGATAATAATAGATAAATACTTTTTTGGGCTTGGTTATTAAGAACTAACAAGTATTACTGAAGCCAAACACATAAGCCATTGCTTACAAAGCTGAGCAAATAAATATAAAGGGTTATCCATAAAGAGGTAGGGATATAAAGAAAAGCACAGGAGTCTTTAGGCACATTGTCTGGAAGGGGTCCAGACCAGGAGCTGATGAGTTAGAAGAGTATTGTAGGTATTTGCAAAACTCTAGCAATACCAAATATAGCATTGGGGAGAATTTGATT